TGAGCTCAGAGGCTGCGGGGCGCCGGCTGCCGCTTCCCCCACCCCCACCCACCTCCACGACCCACCGGATCCTAAGTCCGAGCCCGGGAGGCACCGTCCACCGGCCCGCTTGCTCCAGGCCTGCAGGACACGGCCGAGTCCTCCTCAAAGTTCACGTACTGAACCCAGCGCCTGCCGGCTTTTACCCATTCCCTCCCCGGGTCCCAGCTGGCTGGAAGGGGAAGTGGAGGAGATAGGAAAGGGAGATAGAAGTAGTTCATCTGCGGCTGAAGAAATTCTTTTCCTTGTTAAACAAACAGAACCAAAACCCCATCCCGCTTTAATTCAACTGTCTTCTGAGTCCCTTTCAGGTCCCTAATGGAGAGATAGTGTGTGTGTGTCCGCGCGTGAGAGAGAGGGGAGAGAAAAGAGGGAGGGAAGGAGAGAGCGCTCTGAACAAAAGACGAGGAGGCCCAGGCAGGGGCCTAGGGCTCTCCCCGGAGCCTGCTCTGCCTGTCTACCCTGCAGTTCCCCGGGCTGGCAGGCGTTTTTGGGGTGCTCCGCAGGCCTGGCGGAACAGGCCCGAGCCCGGATTACACGAGGCCGGCGGGAGAACCGCAGACAAAGCCACAAGGCCCAATCCCCACGGCAGCGCGGCCCGAGTCCGCGCCCGGGCCCGGCGGGCCTGCAGTCGAGGCGCAACCCCCTGCGGGCTGTGACCCGAGAGGGGAGCCCCGGGCCGCTCCGCCTCCCCGCGGCCCTCGCCGCCGGGGTCGCCGCGGCCAAGCCGGGTTCCCCCTGCCGCACTCAGCCAGCTGCTCTTGGGGGCCCGCAAGTTCAAAACACACTTTCTCATTAATTAAAACCTGGAAAGCCTCGCCACTTTCTTCCCGGGCCGGGGCAGCATCTCCAGAGGTCCTCGCGGCACTCTCGGCCGGCGCCTACTTCCGCGCGAGGCCTTGGAGGCCGAGCGGCCATTTACTGCCCTCTGATTGCGCCGAGGACCAGGTTAGCTCATAAAGCCTTTCACACTCAACAATGGGGATTTTCTCAACAATTAACAAGAAACAACATAATAAAGCCATTTACAAAGACCTCGCTATTTACTATAAATTAGGCACTCTTTAAGAGACCAGTGCGTAATTTCACACACTTTACAACTGGGGCTGCATTTTAAACACCCGGGAAAACAAGCTTGTTGCACTTTGCTGTGACCTAGCTGCAGTGCACCTCTGTTTCCCCTCGTCCCCAGTAGCAGCTTTGTTTGTCTTGCTGCACTCCAACCTCCCCAGCCGAGGGTGCTTTTCCAGGTCACTGTCTCACGTTTCCCATTTCCAGGTCATCATCCCACTTGCAGATGCACTAGAAAAGTTCCAAGGGACCGGAACCTCGGCGCCAAGTAAGCCAGCCGTGCCCCATCACGGGTCGCCCACTTGAGGAGTTTGCACGGGCTGCTGGCACTCCTGCGCCCTCCCCACACTACGGGCCTCTGGTTTTGGGCCACTTCCCAGGAGGCCTTCGCAGCCTTGCAGGCCCAGTGGGGAGCCCCCGTCCCTTAGCCACTCGCGTCCCACACGCGCACTTTGGAGGCCTTAGCCAGCTCTCTGCCCTGTACAAAGAGCTGGGCCCCATTAGCCCAGGGAGGAGAGATGAGGCCTGGGCGACGAGGTGAGAAATAGCGAGGCGGCGTGTGTAGGATGGGCCATGCCTTCAGGACACACGAAAGGGGTGCAAAGTGAGGGGAGACCTTCCAGTCCGGCCCTCCCCCTCCCCCCTCCCCCCGCGCGCCCTGCAGCCCTTTGCTCCCGGCCTGGAGGCTGCCTGGACTGGAGGCTGAGCGAGACGAGCTGGGGGGTGTAGGCTCTTCTGCCCCGGGGAGCGAAATCATCACACGTTCCGAGGAGAACAAGATCTGGGCGGGAAAAAAAAAAGTCACAAAGAAATTTGTGCAAAATGGCGGCACTTAAACATCTTTCTTGTTGCTGGTGGCCCTGGCCAGGGAACCCACAGCTGCTCTGGGTCAGTGTGCCCCCCCCCCACACACACCCGGAGCTGAGCGGCTGGAGGTCAAATGAGGGGAACAGGGACCCCGAAATCCCTTTAGCCCTATCGCCCGCAGTCCTTTGCCCGCTCCTGGTCCCTTGCCTTCGCTCCCAGGCCACTAGGCCCAAACCCCGCGCCAGCAGCCCCCTGGCCACTGACCCCTGTTTACAAACACAGCCTGGGGGCGGGGTGGGACGGCCCGAGCGAGGGCTGGCGCGGTGGGGGGAGGCCGCGCGCTGCGGAGGACGCCACCAGCAGAGAGGGACGAGGAGTTGGTGCGAGAGAGCGGGCCCGGCAGCTGGAAAGGACTGAACGCCTTGTTTTTGAAACTGTCAATTCCCTCAACCCCTATTGTGAGGGCTTCATGCAAAACATCTCAGGCCTTTTAAAGTAGGAGCTTGTGAGGCCGCCACAGTTTGAAAAGGAGCGAGAGAGTAGCGGGGGCCTAGGGCATGGGCAAAGAATGATAGCTGGGCCCCCCTCCTTTTTTTTTTAACCAAAAGAGGGCCTGCCAAACAGGTAAAATGCAGCCCTCCCCCACCTCCTCGATCTGCCCTGCGTCCCCCAACCCCCAAGCTGGTTTGCAAAATGCCCTTTGGCCTAGGGAGCAAACTAAAACCAAAGCTAGCATTAAAAATAGTTCTTCCTTACAGGGAAGGGGAAAATCCTGGGGTGACCGGGAAGACTCGCTAAGGTGGATGTCCAGTTCTTCCTTGCCAATTTCCTAAGGTATTTGATGGAGAGCTTTTATTTATTTATTTATTTTCCTTCCTACTTTAGCTCTGGGAAATCCCTCTGTTCATATCCTTTTCAGCAGGAAGTTGTTTTCAAGGTGAAGCAAAACTCACATTCTCTCTCTCTCTCTCTCTCTCTCTCTTTTTTTTGTAAATGCTAACGCTTTATTAATTAATTTTTTTATATAAAATTTTTACCATGGAAGATTTTTGTGTTTGTTTTCTCTGAAAAAAAAATGCTTTTGAGGAATTAGTTTCTTCTATATCTCTTCCTGCATGCAAACAAGACCATCATTCTCCTATCAGCAGAAATCCCCATCCAATTCTTGTTGGCTACAACTTTGAGGAATTTCTAGATCATTGCAAATCACCCAGACACGAATAAGATAAAAATCCACACACCAGCCCATCTAGTTTGTGTTATTGCTGTTTAGTGGTGGCTCCTTGTTGTTGATTTTCAAATAAACAACCATTATTGAGATTACGCCACTATAATCAAGTAAGGCAGTAGAAAGGAACACCTACTCAAAAAAATAGTTGTGTGTGTGTGGGGGGGGGAGCAAGCTGCATTTTCTATAAAGGCAGATAACTTGACAGTGAGAGAGTACACACATCTCTTAAAAAAATAATTAAATCTTCACTTCATAGTCTTATCAGGATATTACTTTTACAGGAGACCAAAAAATAAGTTTGTTTCACCAAAAAGTCAAAGAAAGAGGCTTTTCCTGGGTTTTCCTCATGTCTGAATGTTGAGCTAATTTAAACACAGGAATCAGTGACCCTGGAGCCATATAATGCCTTTTTTTTTTTTTAATTCTATTCCCTGAAAACATTTAAATGTAAAAAAAAAAATGTAATCTATCAATGGAGGTAACTTTTGTTTCTCACTCAGTAAGACTTAACTTTTGAACAAATAGGACATTTATAGCAGCTTAGAAAAATCTAGATATTCTTATTACTCATAAAACAACCCAACTAAAATAAACTATACTGAGAATGACTCCCACAGCAGAATGGGAAAACAGCTAAGGGACTACCAGAAATTGAAAGAATACCTTGTATTTGCAAGTTACTGCATACTATTTGGTACACTTTCCTGACAGTAGCCCCAACTCAGGTTTTGCTGTAGTTGGCTGGCTTATAGAAGTACTGTGGGGTGAAATTCGTGTTGACTATTTAATTTCTTTCCTTTTGATGGCATCACTCTGGAATGCCTCGGCCTCCATACTACTCATTCTCCAGCTCCTATAAACTGAAACTATTGATTCTCTGAGGGCTGGAGACCAAGTGTCAAAGTTGGAGGCTGATATTTTATGTCAGAAATTCCATAGGGTATATTTGTTTTGATTTGTGCTTATTTCCTCTTAAGGTCCTCCCAACACCCAACATCTGTAGACTTCAGATATATTCTCAGTTTATAATTTAGGAACAATGAGTGCATAGCCAACAAGGAAAGTACTGGTCTAAATGTACTAGTCGCCTTACTTTGAACTTTCTTGACTTAGCAGTAATTAAAGAGTAGAAATCACTGACTTCCAGTGTGTGTGTCACACTTTTTTACAGATTGATTTTTCAGGACAAGTCACTGTACCTAAATTCTGTATTGCCTTCTAAAGAGGAAGGAACTAAAACTAAGAAGTCAATTGTTCAGCTTTCTGGGGCTTTATCTGTAACATGGACTGGTCTTTGGAATTATATACATACATGAATTCAAAGATAAAATCCCCAAATTTTTGCTTGGAGCATATCTACCATTCCAATAATAATAATAATAAAAAAATCCAGTGAACCTACATCTGGTAACATTCAAGAAGGAAAGGAAGGAGACAGTTCAAAGCATCTGTTTACTCCATCCAAACATATTTGGATGCAGGTATTCTCAGCCTCTGTCCTTTTACAACAAGAGGAAAACCACAGAGCATATACAGCAATTAGGGCTGAGACCATCCAGATCTATCCGCAACATTTATAGACAAAGGGAAAATTTCAAAGGGAGTAAGAATTAAAAGGTTAAGGGGGAAAAATAGACTGAATTTCCATGAGAAATAGTGACTTAAATTCACACAGTAAACATTTCATTGGTGTTTTGTTTTGCTTTGTGATTTATGATCTATAGATGCAACTTCTTAGATTCCAGATAGCAAGGATCTGAGATACATAATTTGGTGGCCCCCAAAATGATTAGATTCAACTTTCAGTCAAATAACAACTGATCTCTGCTTCACTTTCTTAAATCTGAACCTTTTAGTACTTGATTTGTAACAATTTTGTAAAGTTTTCTTGTTATTTTGGGAAGAAATCCACCAGTGTCATGCCCAGGATCTGACTGGCCTCATCACAAAGTCTCACAACAAAACACTGTACCAAATAAATGCATTTCTTTCAGGCAAAACCATTACAAGTGAAAATGTCAACAAAACCATTCATTCCTGTTAACCGTTCTTGAATCTGGAATAAGTAGAAATGTATGGGACCAGGAATTTTAAACAGTGTTTTTAATTGAAAATAAAGCTAAAGCATGCTTTTCAACAGTGCAAATTTCCATAATTTTGATTTACTGCTCTCATCATTATAACATAGTACACCAGCATGGCCCTTACCAAGTGCTAGACCCTAGCCATTTGCATGTTGAACTACTTTGATTTTTAAGTGCAAATATAGATAGTCGCCTCTGATTGTCACTTGCAGTAGAAACACTCCTGCTCTATACACAGGATGGTCTGAAAACAGAAGTTTAGGGAAATGCAGAAAAAAAAGTATAAGGTAATAAAATCCAAGTGCCTGAGTTCTGGTACCAAAAAAGCCCTGAAATAACTGTTATTTTTCATTTGGGGTATTACAACTCTGACCCTTCTTTTTCTTGGTTGTATTTACTGCTTTGTCACTATGAAGAGTGAGACCATAAAATATCCTGCTATTAAGAGAGATATTTTCATTGTTTTGAAAGTTTGAAGAGTCATGTTCAGACCACAAGATAAGCAGGACAATAGTTAAGAGTCATCTTATTTAAAATGTTTGGGTGAGAACACAAAAAGTACTTTTCCAATTGCAAGGAGTGGCTGTAAAAGTAAAAGCACCTCCTTTCAAAAAAATAAAATAAAATCAATCCCATATTTCTTTTACTTATTATATATATGAGGCAGCTTTTTTTTTTTTTTTTTTTTAATCAGCATTCAATCATGACTCACATCCCAATCTTTCCACTTAGGAAAAAAAAAAAGTTAAGTGCAACTACTCTTGGAGGGGGAAATGAGGGAAGTAAAAAAGAAAAAAGACACCCCACAAACAAGAGCTCCAGAAGAATTACATTTTGGGCTCACAGAAACTTCTTGCTACCTCACTGTGTAACCATGTCACCTAACAAACTTTCACTGAATTAACAGTTACACTTCCAGGTCTGAAATCTAGTGCATAAACTTAATGGCTCATTGTAATATTTATTATTCAACCTTTTGACATTTATTTGTAGCAGTTGAATTGAGGTACCGGTGCATTATTAGCATTGAAACAGTAAAGTGTTCCAGCTCTACCATAATAACTGAGTTTTACTTGAGTCTTTAGCCTGAAGTAGTCTGTGGTATGTAAACCAACCCTTCTCCCACCCCGCCCCCACCCCACCCCAAAAAAAAAAAAAAAAAAAAAAAACTCGCAATGGAAAAAAAAAAAAGTAATCCGATTTCTGTCTTCAAAATGCGATAAACCAGGACTCCGAAAGGGGTGTAACACCATTAATGGACTTGTACAAACCATCCTGTGCAGTTTACAACAAAAGGAAGGTAATATGGTTCAAGAAAATATCTTCCAAAACATTTTTATGAATTAAATTTCCTGAATTTGTGACTAGGTGGAAGAGGTATTGCAGAACCGCCCAGCTGCCATTTCCATATAGGATGGGCCTTGTGAGGAGGTTGGAAATCCTTAGTGGTATTTAAGGAATACGCAGGCCACAAATCCCCATCCTTCCCAATAATGAGTGATGGTGGACAAGGAAAATTTGCCATGAAATTAAATGGCCTTTTCACTGCTGATGCTACATTGCTGGCTACCTTTTTGCGTCTGTTTATAACTGTAAAGTCATCCAGTGTTCCTTCATGTGTCTCAGTTTTACCTGTAGGACGAGGACTTCTAGCTGATTTCAAATTTGGTTTGACTGGAGGTGTCTGAAGGACAGGTCGTTTTCCCAGTACTAGTGTCCGGTAATTTTTTCTTACCCTGGCACCAAATTTGTATTCCCCATCCTCAGGTTTTGGAGAACCTAAAGTGCATGAAAGGCCCTGACTCTGAGCCAGTGAGTTTAAGGAAGGAGTTTCTTTCTCAGGGCATGCAAATCCTTCCTTGGCTGTGGTTAACAAGGCGTCCTCCTCTTTATTTTCAGTCACACTATAAAACTCACCCTTTGTATCATTGCACTCGCACTTAAGCTTATTTGTAATAAGATCAGGTTCATATTCTTCATTAGCAGTACTGTCTTCTACTTTGATTTTAATATTGTGCAGAAATGGCAATGTTTTGTCGCCTGTGTCAGTGCAGGGATTCTCGGCTTTAGTTGCTGTTGCTGCTGCTACTGATGCTACAGCATTCACTTTAGGATCACTTTGCGAAGAGGGCAAATCCGTAGCAAATTCAGGACAATAAGGGATTTTGGAATCTTTTTCTGAATTTGCTGCTGCTCCTGAAGAATCATTATTTAAGAACCTAGCAGCTATTGTGCTGTTATCTGCACAGTGTGTCGGAGGAGTTGCTTGTAGGCATTTCCTAGCCTCTCGGAGTATTCTTTGTTGTGGAAATGCATTGTTTGTCTTTGGGCTAGGTGGAGAGGCCCCCTCTGCAAGGCAGTTAATTGTCAGGTCAGTTCTCTTTACAGTACTGGAAATTTCAGAGTGTGGGAATGTAATCTCAGATACCCTATCGTTCCTTATCTCTGGGAAACAAGTCCCCAGGCTGGCCGGGCAGTACACCGGAGACGCTTTGGGGGCCCAGCCCTGCAGATTCCACTCCTCGGGCGACTCCGCTTTGACACTGCTCTTGAGGTCGGGAAGTCTGCCGGCACTCTCGAAAGCAGCGGGTTTGGTTGCAGCGGCGGCGGAGGCCAGATGGTACAAGAAGTTGGCCTGCGCCTGCACGCTGGGAGGCTTGCAGAAGCTGGTGCGCCTGAAACGGATGCTCTGCACTGACACTTGGCTGGAGCCGGAGCTGGAGTCTGACTCGGACGACGAGTCTTCCTCCGAGCTGACTTCACTGGAATCCGAGGCCCCACTCCCCCCCTCCTCCTCCTCCTCCTCCTCCTCCTCCTCCTCTCCTTCCTCCTCCTCTTCCTCCGAGGACCCAGAGTTGCTGGAGCTGGACAAACTGGAGCCAAAATCCGAGTCGTTGACTGCATGATCCGAGTAGGAGCTGGACTCGGAGTCGCTACTACAACTCTCGGGAAAGCTGCCCAGCTGGGGCTGCGGCCGGTGGTGGTGAGGGTGGTGGTGGTTCGGCTGCGGCTGCTGGGCCCGGTGGTGGTGGTGGTGGTGGTGATGGTGATGGTGATGGTGATGATGATGGTGGGGAGGCGGGCAGAAGCTGTTGACCAGATGAAACCTCTCCAGGCAACTTGCCCCGGCAGCCGCTGCCGCCGCCGCCGCCGCAGCCGCCGCCGCCGCCGCCGCCGCCTTGGCTTTGTAGGACCTGGGCAGCAGCAGCAGGCGCCGGGCGCCGGCGTGGGGCGCGAGCAGGCAGTCCTTGGAGCCCCCGCGCTTGCGCTTGCACCGGTAGGTCAGGCTCACCGGGCCTCCGGCGCCCGCCGCCGCCGCCGCCTTGGGCTGGGGCCCGGTCGCCGATGCCTGGTAGTAGGCGGCGGCGGCTGCGGCGGCGGCGGCGGCGGCGGCGGCGGCGGCGGCGGCAGCCGGATGCTTGCTGCATAGCAGGCTCCGAAAATAAGCAGGGTCCGAGTGGAAGGCGACGTAGTTTCCCTGCAGCGGGGCAGTTTCATAGTTTAGAGGGGGTTTGCAAGGCGATCGCGCGATTTCCGGGTAGTGCGAGCCCGGGTATTTGCTAAAAATCTGAGGTAGATGGGCGGCGGGGCGCGCGGCGGCGGCGCCCGGGCGCGGGGACTGCGCGCTGATTGGCAGGGGCCGCGCGGCTCCGCTCAGGCCCCGCCAAAGTTGGTGCTTGTCCTTCCAAAAACCCGGGCGGGGGCTGGCGGCGGCGGCGCGCTCTGGCGGCGGCGCCTTTGTGGCCAGGGCCCGGCCGACCCTCCTGCGCTTGGTCTTGAGCACACGCTCGGTTTTGCAGGAGGTGTAGAGCGCTTCCACGTCTTCCCGGGAGATGAGCGTGCATTTGGCCGCGTGGAAGGCGATGCTGTTGATTGCCTTGAGTTTCCGCAACTCCTCCAGGTCGCAGTGGTGCTTCTTCACTTTCAGATGATCCATGCGCTTGTGCACGGTCGTCCTCGGGATGTTTTTCAGCAGATCTGTGAAGACTTGGGAGAGGGCAAACATTTGCTTCCCTTTAATGACGAGGTAGCCGAGCCTCACGCCATCCACCTCTTCAAAACCTGACTTCAGGTCTCCCATCTCGGGCACTAAATGATCCCCACCATTTGCAGCAAATATATACGTGACGCATACATACACATGTATGTATGTTAATCCTCCGCCAGATGCTGCGTGTGTCTCAAGGCATCCTGCTAATAAAATAACAAAGACTGTTATTCCCGGCGAAGGGAGTGCCAAACTCTAGGCGAAATTATTGGGGGGGGGGTGGAAAGCCCCATGAAATTACACTGACTTGATTCTTGCTTTTTTTTTGGTTTTCTTTTTTTTAAAAAAGAGGGAAAAAACCATCCGGTTTCTGATCTGCCAGTGTGTTGGTCTGAGTCCTCGACGCAGATCAGTACCTGGGCCCCTCTATTCCTCCCTTCTCCATTGGAGTACTATGATAATGGAATGTGAAGGGAGAAAGAGAAAAGAAATGCAGCTGCTATTCCCGCCGCTGCTTTAGCTACAAATAAAATGACAGAGTGAAGTGAGCTCGTCCGGAGACACCTTCATCAATTAATTCCCCTAAAGCCAACGCTGATTGGACACTCCTGACAGGTGATGCAATAAAAATTGATATTCCACCCCTTCCCCCAAAAATCTCCTACTAATTAGCATACCCTTATACTGCCACCTCCCCTCCCAAAGTAAATAATACAGTCGGTATATAAATCTTTCCATTAAACTATCGGAGCTCAGAAACAGCCTGACTCACAGACTTCATCAGAAGCAGTGTGTGTACGCTTTAAAAAAGAAAAAAGAAAAAAAAACCGTATATTCCCCTTTAAAGAAATATTGCCTATTTTTTGCTTTATTTGCATTTTACCGATGCAGCTATTATCGTTTCAAAGAAAAGCATTTTAAAAACATTATCAAGCCTAAATAGATATGCCCCACCCCCTTTTCCTTTGGAAAATGGAGCTTAAGCGAAAATGTGCAGAATAGCCTGGTATTTCCCTTATGGGAGTGGGGAAGGAGACCGGCTCGGAGCTCCAAAGTTAAACCGCGCGATGAACCACCCCAGTACAGACTTACGTTTGGAATTTCTCTCGATTTTCCTTTTTTTTTTAACCCCCTCCCCCCGAAATGCCTTTTTACAACCAGATACAAAGTTATTTGACCAAGGAAGCAGTTGAGTGCTCCAGCTTCGAAACACTGTAACGATTCAACTCGATTTCGGTTCTCTGCTGGGGGGTGGGGTGGGGAGGAGGTAGTTTCACGTCAGACCCATAACAAAGCATAGATAAGCCAGAAATGTGTACACTTTTCACAATTAACCAGGCTGGATTGGAGGCGGGATCCTCCTAGAGTCTCCAGCACAGCCTTTGCCAGGGTCCTGTTCACTACAGATCAGAATTCCAGGGAACACATTACTTTCTTCTGCAGCAAAGCAAAGAGAATGTAAACCGCCCGCCCAAGGTGCTTCCAGAGGTTTTACTTAATAACCATGAAAAGAAAGTGCTGATGTACGAAGCAGACAATTTCAGTGGTCTATGATGGCTTGGTTGGTAGTTGAGGTGAATCTTCCACAATTCCCATGGTTTTCCATGAAATCAAGCATCTGCTTTAACAAAATCACTTTGGATGAATCTGAATATAGTTTAACCTCTTCTTAAGTCATTAAGGCATGGTTTGCTGTCCTTTTCAAGGATATCCAAAATGTTACCAAATGAGAGCAAGGGTCTTTCCACTTGCATTACCAAGATCCCAAGGCGTTTTCTTGGCTGCTTTGCAAAATTCGGCAAAATTCTTCTTAACTGGTCGGTGTTTGCAACTCCAGCATAAATGCAACCCAGGCATTTATATGTTTCCTTCTTCTTCCAAAAATAGACACAGGCGTGTGGTTAAAGAATAAACGGATATTTCTGAGCCTGCAAGAAAAAAATGTACAATAATTTCTTTCTTCACATTCAAAAGTTCCAGCTTCCCCTGCTCTGGCCTGGCTAGTGGGAGCAGGTATGACTCAAAAAAAAAAAAAAAAAAGATAAAACAGGAATCAGACGTACAAGGTAGTTTGCTTGACAAGATGAAATCTCGGCCATAGTTCCCCACCCCCACTCTCATCTCTTTTGTAATTTCCCAGGAATTTTGAAGAGAATTGGGAATTTCAAGAAGTACATCCGGAAATTAAGGAAGTCTATTTAAGAGAGTCTGTAACTCAGGAGGTTGGGATTTGAAAAGTCAGCCCTGGACTACTTTGCACTCAGCACAGATGTAATCGCCGCTCTTCAACTTAATCAATGTGTGTACAAACCACGATGTCTAGTTCTTGCCTTTGAAATCTAAGGCTAGCATTTCCATCCAAGAAATCAGAGCTACAGCAAATTACATTTTTGTCCCTTGAATGAGAGAAGGATCATTGAATGGATCTCGTGATATTTCAGGCTTTAAACGTAACCGAGAGGCAGCAATGAACAATGCCTCGTCACAGCTAATACCATCCACCGACTTGGCTTTCTTTTGCATCTGGATCTATCACACCGCGTTTTTCTCTTTCACTTTCCACAGGAGGAAAATGCATAAGGTTTAAGCAGAAAGCGAAGTTTCCGGGAAAAGCAGATGCTGGTGTTTGTTTTTTAAAGTAGAATGAGCAGAGTCTTTCTATTGCCAGAGACAATAATGTTTTAAAATTCCTCTTGATGCACTTATATACTGCCAGCCCTCTCCCTCCTTCCCGCCCCCACCCCCGCCCCTCCCTTCCCCTCCCCCCAGCTTTAAGATTTAAACCAAAGAGTCAAACAGCCAAGAAATAGTAAACTCAAAAAAAAAAAAGAAAGAAAGAAAGAAAGAAAGAAAAGCCTTTGAGAAGACATAAAAGGTTAGCTAGAGCGTCCTCTTTTTTGGTCAGGTAGTTTTAGTTGTTCTTGATTCCTGTTTAGATCCTCCTCCCTCTCCCTTTCTCTCCTCTCATTCTCTCTCTTTCTCTTATTCCTCCTATACATGGCAACATAATTTAGTAACAATTTTAAATTTACCTTCTTTTCCTTTCCCTTCCTCTCTTTCACTTTTAAAATACTGGCAATATAGGTGGTTTTAAAAACTAGTATAACATTAAGTATTTTTTTTAACTAAATGTATAATCTCTTGGGTCAATTAGAGAAAAACAGATACCAAAGGATTTGAGAAACCTATCATCTATCTATCTATCTATCATCTACCGTATTTGTCCAGTGTGTCAGTATGTGCATGCAGACACCTTTACACTTATACATTTTTAATATCCTATTACACATCTTTCTTCTTCTCTAATACATTCTTTTGTTCCTTTAACTTCCCCATTGGTGTGTGTGTGTGTGTGTGTGTGTGTGTGAAGGCTGGATGCTGGAGCCTTCATACACACACACACACACACACACACACACACACACACACACACACACACAATGTGACAGACAGCTTTCTTGTGGCCATCAGCACACGTTGCATATCCGGGGTCTTCTCCAGGCACATTAGGGGTCGGATCCCGATAAAAAGATCTAGCAGAGGCCCCTGAGCGCTCACACATGAAAGGCAGGGGACTTTAAGATGGATTTGCATGCACACCGGGGATTTCGATCAATAGCTACCAACATTTATGGCTTAGATTATTAATGCGAAAGCTGGCCAAAAGAATAGGGATGAAAAATTGAAGGTGTCTGTTATCAATTATGCTTAAAGTTATGCAATAATTTACTTACTTTGCCTGGATGTGCAGATCCAGATGTATAAAGTACTATTCTTCAAAAGCCAGAGGGTTTCTTTGATAAATTTGTTGACCATGTCAGCCTCCTCTATAATCAAAGGTGAACCCAATTCAGATGGACTATATTCAAATTGTTTTTAAAGAAAAGATACATTAACTTGTATGTTTCTCAAATGCATGTAACATATGTGGATGGATATGCCCAAATTAATGTTTACATATACATATATAATATAAACTTATATATTATATATATCTATATATCTATATATATGTTATAGATATATATAACAAGGACTTATTGTGAATCTGGGCATATATATGATATGCATTGAGTGTATTAATGAAATGTGAGCATTTACTCAGTGAGGAATGCATAATCTATATCCTTTCTTAAAAAAGTATTTTAGCTTCAAAAACAAAGATGCTTGCTAAAGGAAAATCTTCTGTAGAAATACAGATTGAAATATTCTTAATGTCCACTTCTGCATTTATTGTAAAGAATCGGCACTTTCAGTTTTTAAAGTGATGGGCTATGAAGATCTGAACATATTTGTCTTTTCTTATCCCATATGAATGTGCTAAATTTACCTTCAGATGTTCTATTTTGATTTATTTTCACTGTATTTTATGTTTAAATACCATAGCAATTCAGTCTGACCTCTTTCCTCTGGAGTGAAGTAATGCACACGGCATTTACAGTCTTTTAAATGGTTAGCTGGGAAATGCAACAGCAATTTGCAGGAGTAGTTTACTAATGGGGAAAGTTCTTTTGAAAACCTGAAGGAAAACCTAAGAGTACTTTTGCATTTCTACACTACAACTGTCATATAATTAAAGTATTGAAGAGCATTAAAATAATCCTTTTCCTTCAAAGCTCTCACCCATACATACATAATTTAAATGAGGATCTCACCCCCCCACCACCATCCAACTCTTCACCATATACATTTGTCTTAGTGATTGCTGGGCACATTTTGTTCAAAGTGAATTCAGACAGAAAAGAGTAAGGGAACATCACAAAGGCCTCAGCAATATAAGTATACTGGTTAGGAGAATGAAAGAAGTCTCTCATACTGTTAACTAAAAGTAATATAATATTTACAATATAAAGTCTAAAATAATAATAATTTAAAGCCTCATATGGCTGAGTTAGTTGAGGATAGAGGACAACAAAATCTTAATAGTTCCTTAGTTACTTGTCTGACATCATGCCTTCTCTCCTTATTGGGTGGTGAAAGTGGGAATAGAGGAATAGGAAATGACTGAAATGACGAACACCTTAAATTATAACTTAGTATATTTCCTTTTTTTTTTTCTTTTTGTCTCATTTAAACATATCAGGACAAGTCTCCCAAAGGGCCCATCCTTCTGTTGTTAGGCATTTAAAAATCCTGTCTTTAACAGAAGTTTGGGACACAGAGTATATGCCATGTTGTCTACTGACCCATAATCAAA